GAGAAAATGACGATCCTGTAAAAAATAATCCAGATAGACCGGCAACTCCGACGAATGATGAAATTTTAATTAGAAACTATCCGGACGAGACGGCCGGTTCCGCAGATGAAATTTTAAATGGAGAGAATGTATAGTCAGAGTTGATGTTGACATCTATCAGCTCCATGATTCCTGGCTGGGTGAAGTCCTTAGAAGTAAATGTCTTGCGACAGTTCATGTTTATCTTGTTGGTTTTGAATATGAGACTAAGCGGATGCATTTGCTGTTGCAGCTGCTGTTGTCGTTCGTCATCATCTACATTTGCAAATGGTTCTCTATAATCCAGAGTGTGCATCGATAAAGAATAGGCCTGTGGAACGTTGTCAGAACAGGGTTTCCTCGGTTTCGTTGGGAGTGATTGCTGATTGTAAAGTGTTGATGACTTCGAATGTCGGTTGGTTTCCTGGGAAGAATCGGAGAAGTGAAAATCTGGAGCAATGTTTTTTGAAGAAGTGTCAGGCCTTTTAATGCATTTCAATACAACGTTCTGTTTCTCGTTGGATGAATTAGCGGCTTCTGCTGTTGAATTTTTGCGAGGTGACGGCGATGATAACGACGATGATGGCAGATGTTTTGATGAAACTGAATCTGGCTGAACTGAAAGTTTCCTCGGAACAGCTGGTTTCATTTTCCCTCTAGTTGGTGAAACGTCAACAGCAGCAGCAGCAGCAGTAACCACAGTAGGTAAGGACTCAATATTAAAGCTACTATCTTTTGCAGAGGAATCTGACCCAGCAACGTACCACGTAGTCAGTTTTTGTGTGGTACTTGGTACCTTAGCCGCTGGGATGGGTTGTGCTGACGGTGACGATGTTTGAAGGGGTGATGAACGCAACGAAAGATTTGCAGGCTTTTTCGGTGGAGGAGGTTTCGTGGAAATCGATTTGGCGTCCAGCGCATTCTTTAAACTATGGATTGGCTTCGTCAGTGACGGCCTGGGGGTTTTGGTGACCGGGAGAGGCGATGAGGGCTGGGGCGTTGAAGTTGATGATCTTATTGATGGTGGGGGTGCTGGTGGCGGACCGGAAGGTGCTTTGCGAATGGGAGATGGAGATTTGTTGATTGGTGATTTAAAGTTTGATGATGATGTTTTGGAAGATGACACTGGGCAGTCGAATTTTGATGCTGGTGGTGTAGTTTGCTTTGAACCTAGTGACGTTTGTTTCTGCAGACGGCCTGTAGAATTTGGTGGCTTGGTGGTTTTGTTTTGAGATGACAATTTTTTATCTGATTTTTTTGTTGCTAATTCTTTGTCTTGATTAGTGAAAGATTTAGGTTCAGCATCAACTTTTTCAATAACTTTTTCACTACCTAAACCTTTCGATTTTCCATTCAACGTAGGTGGCGCGTCGTTATTGATAGAAATTTCATCAGTTAAATAAGTGACTTCAACGGTTTCTGAAAAATTTACAGACTCAGATACCTTAGTAATATCAGGAGAATTAAACTCTTTGACAGTTTTTAAAGTTGGATTATTAGTTTCTGCTTTGTCTTTTGCTTGTGTGTCAGAAGGTGAAGGCAACTTTTGCCAGAAATTTTCAGTCCTTGAAGTCTGAATAGATGGCAGGGAGGACTGCTTTTTGATTTTGAGTACTTTTGTGCTGGGTTCTTGTTCATCTAGCTGTTTAGTCACGTGCAGTAGATGTTCGTAATTGAAGATTAGATTGTCATAGTCATGTGCTTTCTCGTTGGCGTTCAACTGCTCATTGTCGTCTTCAGCAGCTGATCGCAAATTTTTACGTTCGTCACTTGCTTTCGAAGTACATGCGATGTAAAATGAATCATCTCCAGGATTTTTTAAATTAAAATATGATATATCTTCATTCATGTTTGTACACATTTCAGATGTATGATCGATATCGTGAGTATCATAACTATCCTGGTTAGATAGAAATGCATCTCTAAAATTATGATTTAAATCAGGTTCTTTGGTGAAACTCTCCGATACACCAACAGTAATAAAGTCATTACTTGAGTGTTCTTTAACTGTTTTGAAAAATTCCTGACTCAATATCAAAGTTTCAGAGGATGTTTCATGCTTAATATTATTCATCTTCTGGCTATCACCCCTTTTGTTATTTATTGTTTCATTGAGTTGAATGGCACCATCAAAATCGTTATAACCATTATTATGGCTATCGCCATTGGGTGCGTCATCATCACTTTTACTCCTTCCATTAACGTTATTGTTATCATAGAATGATGCGGAGTCTTCTAAGTTTATACGAGTATCATTTTCATCATCAAAACCTCCACCGACATCGTCGCCATTTTCATCTAGGTACCCATCGGATCTCGATAATGGGGCAGTCTGATCCAAAAACGTAGGTGTCGTCTGATTGGTCGATTTGTTGTACTTCTCAACCAATGACAGTTGCACTTCTGGGTTCTTCCACCAGTCAAATTTAGACTTGATGGTGGAGTTTTTATTTTCAAATTTTAAATTCTCCTCTCCTTCTGTTACTGATATGTAATCCATTGGAAACTGTCCGACGTTATCTAGGTCAAAAATGCAGGCACCATAGACAAATAAATCGTCAATAACTTCATAAATCTCAACTTCATCACCTTCATATAAACTGATTTCTTCGCTTAGTTGGGCTGCAAAATTTTGTAAAACAACCCCTCTTGCTATTATCTTTGTTTTACTTTTTGCTTCTTTGTTTACTTTGTTATATATGCTTAATTTTTTAATAAAGTTTAATGGAAAAATTCCTTTTTTTGTACAGCTGTTTGATGAAAATCCTTCACACCAATTTTCATCGATTTGCCTTTCGAGGATTATGATTTCATCTTTTCGTGGAATTTTAATTCAAATTCATAAATATTAATTTATTAAAATTAACAATTAAACTTATTCATTCTATTCTAATTTATACATTTAAAACATAGTAAAAAAAAAAAGATTTACCAAATCGAATTTCAATTCAACTAATTTTTTGGAGAAATTTAAAAACTCAAAAACTGACTATCAAACTAAGGCCAAGGAAAAACAACACCACATAAGCCAATAAAAAAAACTAAATTAAAAATAATAATAGGTAATCATAATTATATAATTATAACTAATTATAGCAAGCACGAATGTACATTTTTCATATTTTGTACTGTATATGTACTATTTAACTATTTACTAGAATAATATGTCAATCAAAGAGACATATAAGATGCATTACGTAGTTAACAAAGCATGTTGAACTAATTAGAAAAGTAGTAACCACCATTTTCAAAGTACAAACCATTAACAGCAAACAAATAATATGTTTTTGTTTAATTAATTAATGAATTAATTAATGAATTAATTAATATTTCTAAGTTTATGACTAAATAATTAATTAAGGGTGATAAATAATATAGAATAATTTCAAAAAGTTATTGATAAAAAAAAATGTATCAGTTAAATCTAGCAATGTTTACAAAGCAGAAATTATACAGAAAAAAATTTGTATTGAGTATAAGTTACAAGTATTAAAAAATTTTGTCAAAATCAGTAAGATTCTAATAAAAAAACAAACTTACTTACTTTTTTCAAAATTCAGATCCCCATCAATACCTGTAATGAAGGAGGCAATGGATAGACAGACCTCTCCCAGACCTGAATAACCTGGTAATGCACATAACTCCACATACAATTTTGGAAAGCATCCTTCTGTATCACAATCTCGACGATACGGATTTGAATCATCAACATTATTGCTCACTAATTTATTCTGGGACTCATTCCTACCATACAACCAGTTGTTGTCAATTTGTTTGGTCACTAGTATAACATCCCCTTTTTCAAAATGTATTTCTCCCTCTTGGGCCTCATTGAAATCGTAGAGAGCCCTAACTAAGTATGGGTTTAAGTTGTTGTCATCGTCACCCAACACTTCCTTTTCCATTATTATCGATTTTTAATTAATTATTTAATTTATTTAATTAAACTTATAAAAATATAAAAATTAAGTGAAAATAGCTGAAAACATAATTGATAATCAGCTGAAATCATTTCTATTTGATTTGGTTTTCATGAGATTGTCGTTAACAAAAATTATGGATAAAAATTAGATAAAAATCAACCAAAACAATATTTAGTTTAAAAATTGTGAAAGTTTTAAACTTATTTAAATTAAATCAGCTGACGGAAAAGCGAAATAAAAATGAATTTTTTCTTAAAAGATTGTTTTTCTTTATAGTTTTTTTAGATGTAAACATTATTTTAAAAGGAGCTAAAAGTGAATTCAAGTTATTATAATAAAAATTTAGACAGGTATAAAACACATATATAGAATAAAATGTATAAAGTTATATTCCTTAAGTATGTGGAATGCATTTTTATAAAATACAATCTATCAATATTTAATATACAATTACCTTATAATAACTTTCATAAAAACCTCGGAATTTCGATTCCTACTAGAATAGACACTTTCACGCTTATGAGAGTGAGTACTGCATGTATATAGAAACAAACTAACAGCTTAATTCACTATGTCAGCCAACATTTTAAAAAATTGAGCTATAGTACATAGTTCATAATGATAACTATTCAGTCAATTCAAGATACTATATTTCCATAGATACTCAGGGATTGAGTACTAGATGAATCGAATAACAAACTACCAGCTTAATTCACTATAGCAGCCCACATTCCCAAAAATAATGAATCATATTGCATAGTTCATATTTATTCGCGTCTAAAAACTAAAAATTATAAATATTCCTGTCTAAAAACTGAGTTTTACTGACTTTTAGTAACAACGCTGCTTACATCTGGCCTAAGATCGAATGCTTCTAATCTGTCATCTTTATCTCACTTGATTATTCTCCGCCAGCAGTGTAGGCAAACAGAAAATTTCAATTAGTTCATTTAGTTTTAAAGCCATATTTCAGAATTATCATATAATTTTAATGGAACTCATCACAGTTACTACTATACGCAACTTAATACTGCTATTACAACAATGTTGCTATTTTATTTTAGTTTTCCCAGCCATAATCATTTATCACCTTCAAAGGAAAAAAGGAAAAACAAAATTAATTTTATTAAAAAAATAAACATAATACTACCATTTTGTGATATTTTGCAGGTTTAAAAAAATTCGAATAATTAACAAATAATACATTTCAAAAGATCGGAATGAAATAAATTGAACGTAAGAACAACATAATTAATTTATTTTTTCATTCTAATAAAATTTGTTCTTATTTAAATATTAAAACTAATAATTTTACTAAAATTTCCAACGCTTTTTTGGTATAATGATTTAAAACAAATCCAATTCAAACTTCAAGAGAATGTGCTTAAAAAGATGTCGTTTGTATTGCAGATGATGTCAATGTGGATGACGAGATGACGATAGCTGTTACCTAATCATAATGATATTAGGAGGATTAGGATGATGAAAAATGATAAGACGACAATAAAATGATAATGTTTCTGATTGATAATTATATTAGCATGAGATCCATCGAAGAATGATAAAGATGATAACGTCAGTAATGGTGATGGCAAAAATAATTTGATTTGGATAAGAATAATGCCATAATGAAATAACACAACGCAGCACAGTAGTATAAGGAAAATAATCACAATAAAAATAACCTTTCTATAAAGAAGATAATTATGCTTTCAAAGACAACAAAATATTTATTAATAATAAAAACATAATTACATTGATAATTTAATTATATAATTGCCGAAATCAAGCAATTATAAATATGCCTCTTCACTCATAGTTCCGTAATAACCAGTCGCACATTTCGCCAAACTTTGCGAGAATACGTCGCCTGTGGCCCGTCTTTCGACATTCGCACAGAAGGTCAAATTTGATTTGTCCATCCGAACGCAGTGTGGGCAGTTTGAGGAGAAATCTTCGAAGCAAAGGGCGCAAAAAATCGCGTCGCAAGTACCTTGCGGGCAGTTGAAGACCTCTTTGACGGTTTCTTTGCAAGAGAAACAAACATTCAAGGACAGTAGAGTTCGAAGTCGTCTTTCCAGCGGCTTCGTCATGACGTTGCATTTTCTGTCATTTTTTCCTGATTGGGGAAAAAATAATTTTTTTTGGTTTATTTTCTCAACTTTTCTGTCGACGGACTTTTTGATGAAATTGAGTTGTTCGGGGCGATTTCGTAACAGGTTGTCGTGGAGAGATGTTATTCTTCGCATTTTCACAGCCGGGTAGTAGTAGCTCATTATCGAGTCTTTCATTCTGGTTATCGGTACATTCAGCACAACGCTCATCATCATCAGAACATTCAAAAGAACGATCAAGAGAATAGTCAGTAGAGGAACATTACCGATTTGAAAATTGCAAACACCACTGAAAGCGGAATCAATATTTTCGACTGATGTTTTATTCGAATCCAAGCGGGCGATATTCAACAAGATTTGTAACATCTCGACCACTGCCTCGTGACCGTCAACAGACTTGATGGCTCCTACTTCTTTTTTACTTTTCAAGAAATTCTTCGACTCCTCATCAGCACTCCAGCAAACGAGATGAGACGTACCTGCCGATTCAGCCAACGACTTGTTGATGATGACCAACGCAAGAGACATCACCAAACTCACAAGGACCATCTCACATCCGACAAGCAAATGATTCCTTTCAATTCGACTCAAAGTCCATTCAGTTCTGTCAACCAATAATTTTTTTTCAAAATTTTTTAGCGGGAAAATACTTTTCTTACCCGCAAAACGATTAGTTGAATATAGATCATAAGCGACTAATGAGCTGTCGACAATAATATTTCCTTGAATATCATTGGTCAAGAATGTGATGACGTGACGACGAGCGGCAACCAATAGGATAAGAGAAGCTAACGGAAGAGCCAGCAATTGGCTGTAAATGTGTGAAAAGATGGCGAGTATGTACGACCAACTCTTGAAGTTTGTCACATTGTGATTTATCTTGTTTGAAGTTTCTAACTGCGTGTCGGCTCTGCTGATGCTGGCGTTTGCATTGATGTTGTTGCTGTTTCTAAGATCGATCTTACTCCTTTGGGGGGTAATAATTTTATACCTGACGCCCCCCTCCACACCATGGATTGAATCACTATCTCCTATACCGGCGAATTTAATATTGCCAGCAGTTCCATATGCGTCATAATCACCATTCACCACATCTCCTCCATCAACATAATTTCTCTCACCACCACCACCAAACTCCAGACCTTGTTTTTCTGTTTTTATTTTTTCAAATTTCAGAGTTGCTACGACTTTAGCGGTTGATTCGGCAACTTCCTTGAGAGCTTCATCGGCCCATGAAGATGGGCTGCATATCGAAACCGTATCGGATAAGGGCTGGCATATTTTTTGCTCGTTTAGCGGTTTGCAAACGTCTTTATCGGTTTCGGTATTTCCGTTGAATGAGTATGAAGGCGATGATGACGATGACGACGATGACGATAATGAGGATGAGAATGATGATGATGAAGAAGAGGAAGAAGATGAAGGTAGAGCTGGTAATGATGGTAGAAAATTTTTTAAATATGACCGTTCATCTATTTGCCTGAAAGTTGAAAGTTTCAAATTTTTATATAAATTTATTCATCTTAGAAATAAATTAAAACACCCAAAAACGAGTTTCAACGTTAATATTTATTAAATCGTGATTTTAATTTTAAATTTAATCTTAAAATTATTTCGAATTTTTTCAGGTTGCTTTCCATTCTATAGACAACAACACCTCTATGGAATAATTGCACATGGCGTTAGAGAAGATAATTTAATTAACCCATCCACCCCAGTAACCTTTTCAGAGCGCGTGATATGTGAGCCTTCTTCAGTGCTAAATTTGTTGCGAGAAATTCCTGTGGTTGTTGTTGTAGTTGCTGCTGTGGCTGTTGATGTCGTTGGCGATTTTCTTGCTGCTGCTGTTGTTGTTGTTGTTGGGCGACCTGTTGGGCGACCATCTCATTATACTTCTGTCTCTTAGACAGCAGTTGCTGTTTGGTGAGCCAGCGGTCCGGGTTGATGCTATCCAGAATGTTGCGGGCGTGTTTGTAGACCGTGCCAAGGGCCTCTGTCACCCCAAAGCATTGTTTCCTCGCCTCCGCTATAACAGTTACGCAAGATCTGTGGGCCCGTTCTGTCAGGTCCTTACACACCTGGCGAGAGAAAATTTAATTTTTTTTTAATTTTAATAATTTTAAATTCTTTTTTTTTGTAATTTTGTTTTATTTTTTGTAATTTTTAAAGTGGTTTCAAACTAAATAACATTTTAAATTTTTGTAAATTATTGAAAAAAACATAAAACAGACACAAAAAAATATACAAACAAACGCACACACACGCAAAAACAAACAAACACAGACACGAACACACACCATACAAACCCTCAGAGCACTTTACAATGACACCGATCTTTAATACAATGAAAGACCGCAACGACGTTTGCATCATCATCGTCATCATCATCATCATCGTCATCATCATCGATCATCACCATCATAATCATCATCGTCGTCATCGTCATCAGCACAATCACAGCAACGAACATGGAAAATAAATAAAAATTGATGACAAATATTAGCCTCAGGGCGGTTAAAGGCATATATCCACACATACATACATTTATACATACATACATACATACATACATACATACATACACACATACATACATACATAAAATGATAAACATACACATACACATCTATTCTGTCACGTATTACCAAGCAAACAAAGAATGATGCAACCGAGATGGTACGTTATTTGCCGGAAGTAAACAAATTATCGCTCAATGGCTTCAGGACAATAGACATCATATTAACGCCAACGTGAAAACGATAACAAAGATAACAAAATTTACGACAGATAACATAGATAATAGATAACTAAGATAACAGAGACAAATGATAATCTGTTCGTAAAACTATCGTCTACAACAACAACAACAGCAACAGCAGCAGCAGCAACAACAACAACAACAACAACAGCAACAGCAGCAGCAACAACAACAACAACAACAGCAACAACAACAACAACAACAGCAACAACAACAACAGCAACAACAATGACAAACGTCAGCAACAAAACATCAAGAATAGTAACAACGACAGCAACAACAAACAACAGTAACAAAATTACAAATAGAAGCTTTGCATTGTCTAAAAAATAATAGGTAAGTGTATATGATTCTGTAGAAGATTCAATTGCAATTGCTCCCTTATTACATATTACATACATAAAACCACATACAACTACATACATAAAAACACCCAACCACAAACAAACAAACCTACTAACACATACAAACAAATATACAATCTCATACAAACAAATATACAATCGCATACAAACATTCATTCATCCGCATACATGCAAACAAACAAACATACAAATGCATACCGACATACAAACACGTACGCAGACACACACAAAACGACAAACAAATAATTAAAATTAGGCATATGACAACAATGGTAACTAAAATTCAAGCAGGGTTGACATCGTCTTGCCCCATCACATCATTCATCTATCCATCCATTTTTCTCAACTACTCATCCACTTTTCCATCCACCCATCCACTATTTCTTGATCCTACTACTACAAACCAACTTCTATAACCCATCACTTTATCCATTCATTCATCTATCTTTTCATCCATCTACCCATCCATTTTTATCAACTACTCATCCACTTTTCATCCATCTATCCATCCATTTTTCTCAACTACTCATCCACTTTTCCATCCACCCATCCACTATTTCTTGATACTACTACAAACCAACTTCTATAACGTTCATAATTTCACCTTAAGGCGCTATAAAAATTGATCGAGGTTGCGTTTTGTTTTTCTTGCGGCGAGGGGCTTCAGCCATTTTGTCATTTTACGATCAGACATTAGTTCAATAGTGCTCTGATTGTAGTTGTATTAGTAGTAGTAGTAGCAACAACAGCAGCAGAAGTAGTAGTAGTAGTTGTAGTGGTAGCAGTAGTAGTAGTAGTAGTAGTAGTAGTAGTAGTAGTAGTAGTAGTAGCAGTAGTAGCAGTAGTAGCAGTAGTAGTAGTAGTAGTAGTAGTAGTAATTATGGACAAAAATTTGTTTTTAGCAATCAAGAAGGCAATTCAAAAATAAACAAACAAACGAACGAACGAACGAATAAACAAAAAACAAACAAACAATTGATCAATCAATCAACCGCTCAATCATTAAGACAAACAAAAAAAAACTAACAAACAAAGAATAGATAACAAACAAACAATAAAAACAAAGAACAGACGAACAAAGAGTAAAAAAACTCACCTTTTCTGCGTTACCTAACATCGCAATGTTCCCATGACTACCATCATCATCATCATCATCATCATCATCGTCATCGCTATCATTACTATCATCATCGTCGTCGTCGTTGACATCATCTTCATTATTTTTTATCTTTGGTTGTTTTTGTCGTTGTTGTTGTTGTTGTAGTTGGTGGGTTTTTCCAATCAGACGCCTCGTAATCAGCAATAATTTGTTATACGTTTCGTTGTATATATTGTAGTATCGAGATGGTGATGACGATGATGATGATGATGACGATAATGATGATGATGACGACGACGATGATGATGATGAAAGGGATGTAGACGATGATTGGTTGAGATGTAAAACAACGCCCGGAGATTTGAATACAAATGATGACGATGGTGACGATGATGATGCTGATGACGAAGACGACGACGATGATGATTGTGGTAAAAATGATAAATACGGGTGCGAAGGAGCGTACCCTGGCGTTGGAGATGGTGACGATGGTGAACCAACACGAGGTTTATACATTGCGTTTGAATGGTAATCATCATCATCATCATCGAGTGGCTTCCGCTGATGATGATGATGTTGATTTTGATAATTATGATGTGGGTGATGATGATGATGAAAATCGCATTCGAGAAAGTCAACTAAACTTTCCAGGTTCAATTCCATCTGAAGAACTGGTCCTCGGAGAAGCGTGGCTGGATCGATTGAATGAGAGAATGATTTTTATTCATTTATTCATTCATTTTTGAATTCATTCATTTGCTCGTTCATTCATTCATTTTTTAATTATCATTCCATTCTTTCGTCTGTCTTTTATTGCTTTATTACCTCACATCATTCGCTTGTTCAATAAATCATCATTTTATTCATCGTTTGTTCCTTCATTTGTTCATTCATCATAATCATTGTCGTCGTCATCACTATCAGCAGCAGTAGCAACAGCAGCAGCAGTAGTAGCCTCAGTAGCAACAGAAGTAGTAGCCTCATCATCCACAACGTCGTCGTCGTCTTCATCATCCTTTTTATTACGGTTGAGTATTTTTTTTATTTTTGTTCTTACAACAAACGCGATTCTGTCCTTAATTATCGTCATAATAATTATTATCGTTGCCATCCTCATCATCTTCTTCCTCTTCCTCATTTTCATCATCATCATCTCCTTCTTCCTCTTCTTCAGCATCATCACCATCATCACCATCATCGCCATCGTCGTCGTCATCTCAATAAATAATTCACACCGAATTCCACTTGTACTTAGCACTCACCTCGCCTATTATACACTTAAAAACACACACGCGCACACACACACGCACACACACACATACGCAAACACACACGCACACACACACATACGCAAACACACACGCAGGCACATACGCACTCAACAAATGAGTCGTAACCGTAAGACACGTACAACTAAAAATTTCATCGCTTTATAATTAGCACACTGTTTTAACGACAATCCAATTAACTACCACATCATAAAGAAATCATACACACACGCACCATGTACACACACACGTACAAACATGTACCCACACATACAAACATGTAAACACACGCAAATGATGATAATGATGATGAAGGCGGTGTTAGTTCACAAGCAATTAAAACACACATACAAATTCATATATTTGAAAAATTACTTTTGTATTTAAACATTAAGAGAACAATCACAGCCAACAACAACAACAAACAAGGCAACAAAGTAAGAGTTGAAAATTGTTGGCAAGTGCATCATCTAGCATGGAAAAACCATGTATGCATGTATTAATTTATGCCCTCTCTTTCTTTCTCTCTCTCTCTCTTTTTCTCTTTCTTTCTCTCTCTCTCTCTCTCTCTCTCTCTCTCTCTGTGTGTGTGCGTGTGTGTGCGTGTGTGTGCGTGCGTGTGTGTGTGTGCGTACCATCCTTCCTTTGAAGAGAGATTGCCTGACTGAATTATAGGTTATAATCAATATGTATGTACGGGTGTGTGGTGTGAGGTGTGGCGTGTTTTATGTACTTATAATTGTATGTACGGTCTGTATTTATTGCCTTGTATACATTGTATGTTTCGTGTATGAATTGTATTGTTTGTATTGTGTTGTATAGTTTGTGTGTGTGTTGTATATGTTGCATGTATTGTATGTAGGGTATAATATAATGGTAATAATAAAATAATAATATTAATAATAATATGTTTGTGGAAGATGTTTATAAACACCAGCCCAATGCCCATAAGTTATTCATAAATTATTTCATTTGCGTATGCGCACATTTTGTTTTGTTTGTAGGTTTGTTTGTTTGTTTGTGTGTGTATATTTGATTGTTTTTTGTTCGTATGTATGTTTGTTTGGTTGTTTGTCTGTTTGTTTGTATGTGTGTATGTATGTCTGTTTGTATGTGTGTGTATGCTTGTTTGTATGTTTGTTTGTATGTGTTGCATATTTGAGAGTGATACAATTAACGCCAACAGTAAATACATTGCATGTCCTTACAATGCAAAATGATACAAACAATATCAATCAATACAATACAATAAAATACAGAAAATACTAAACAATACCAAACAATACAAATGAAAAAATACAAAATGATATAAACAATATTAATCAATACAATACAATACAATACAATACAGAAAATATTAAACAATACCAAACAATACAAATGAAAAGATACAAAATGATATAAACAATACAAATGAAAAAATACAAAACAATACAAATGATACAAATGATAAAATACCGAACAATTCAGATAATACCAAACAATACAAATAATAGAATGGCCGATCGTGTATATCTAATCTGCAGTCGTATTGGAGGTACCCTTAGGTGGCATAAAACTTGTACAAGAGGTCTTGCTGTTGTTGTTGCTGTTGTTGTTGCTGTTGTTGTTGCTGTTGTTGTTGTTGTTGCTGCTGTTGTTGTTGTTGATGTTGCTGTTGATGATGATGATGATGTTGCTGTTGATGATGATGTTGTTGAGGTTGTTGTTGTTGATGTTGTTGTTGTAGTAGTGGATGTTGATGATGATGTTGTTGTTGTTGCTATTGATGATGAGGTTGTTGTTTTGTTGTTGTTGATGCCGATGTTGTTGATGATGATGTTGTTGTTGAGGTTGTTGTTGATGATGATGTTGTTGTTGATGTTGTTATGACCATTTTATATTATAAAGTCCATGTTATATTCCAATGTTTATTGTTGTCGAAGTAGTAGTTGTTGTTGATGCTGATGTTGTTGTTGATGTTGGTGAAAGTTTATAATTAGCAGTGACGTCATTGTTTATTTTTGTACGCCATTTTGTTTATCAGTGCTAAAAATTTATACCGGGACGGCATTGATTTATTATGAAGATGGTGATGTGGTGATGAAGACGTTGATGATGATGGTGAAGATAATGATGATGATGATGGTGAAGATGATGATGATGATGGTGAAAAAGAAAAAAAAGAAGAAGAAGAGGTTGATGATGATGATGATGATGGCGACGAGATGTCGATGTTGTTGTTGATGATGACGATGTTGTTAGATCGATAATGATGATGATGATGACGATTACGAAGAACGATCACCCTCACCAACGTCATTATCTTAAACGAATTTTGTAGATAAAATTATTTTTTGGCAGTTTTATTTATATTTAAAAAAAATTGTACTTTCATAAATTCTAAGTTTATTTTATTCCGCTTTTTTTATCATCGGTATCTCTTATTTTTTTCATTTTTTATTTTGTTAAGCTCTGTCTATTATTTTCTCTCTACTCTCATTCTCTCTCTCCTTTTTCCTCTTTCTCTCTCTTTCTTTCTTTCATTCCTTTTCTCTTTTTTTTGTCTGTTTTCAATTTTTCCATCTTTCTCTTTTTTTCTGTGTGTATATGTGCGTGTGTTTGTATGTGTGTGAAAGATAGAGAGGGGTAGAGAGAGAAAGAGAGAGAGAGAGAAAGAAAGGGAGAAAAAGAGAGAGGAGAGTAAATATAAATTACAATACAACATGGACTGGTCACATAAGGTTTGCTCTCTATTTCTCTCCTTCTCCCTCTCTTCCATTTCTTTTCTTTCTCTCTCCTTCTCTCTTTTTTTATAATTGCTCTCTGTTTCTTTCTTCATCTATCTATCTCTCTCTCTCTTTTGATTCACGTAAAAATGTGAATGTGTGTGTCTGTTTGTGTGTGCGCGTGTATGTGTGCGCGCGTGTGTCTGTGTGTACGTGTTTGCATGTGTGTGTGGTCCAGTTGTTTGGAGCATGTACTGGACACATGGGATTTCAAATCTTGCCTTTTGTTCACAGCTGAGTGATACTTACATCCATCATTATAATATGGATTTGTGTATTTTTGGGTATTTCTTGGTATTTGTGAGGATTTTTAAGCGTGTGTGTGTATTGGTGTGTGTTGGTGTGTATGCACGTAGCTGTTTGTATGTTTGTTTGTCTGTCTGTCTGTCTGTCTGTCTGTCTGTATGTTTGTTTGTTTGTTTGTTTGTCTGTTTGTTTGTGTCTCTGCTGACTTTTTTGTAACAAAATAAAAAGCACAAGTAAATAATTCTGAAGTAATCTGAAAAGTGTTATTCCATAAATATACATGTGTGAATATTTTACTGTCAATTAAGTTTAAATTGAGGAAAAAATTGTTTATTTAAAATTTTGAAAAATCGTTTAATAATAGCAATCTTTCTTCATTGTAAGCTGTCCTCTGGGTCTATTTAGCCTAGACAATCGATTGTAGACACGCACGCACACACACACACCCAAATAATAATAATAATAACAACTCTAATAACAATAATAATAATAATAAATCTTCGGACACGTATCTACAAGAGCGCTTTCTTAAAACCTTCATCATCATCCTCTGCTGGATCAATATGAAGATAAGATCAATATGGATAGTTGTATGTTTGTTTGTGTGTTTGTTTATATGTTTGTTTGTATGTGTGTTTATTTGTTTGTATGTGTGCTTGCTTGTTTGTTTGTATGTGTGTGTGTGTGTTTGTATGTGTGCTTGTTTGTTTGTTTGTTTATAGATTTTTGAATTTTTAATATAATTTTTCCTCTTATTGTGAGTTCGTTTATAAACGTGTTTGTGTATATTAGTTTGCATGTCTGTATGTTTATTTATTTGTTTGTTTGCTTGTTTGTTTGTATGTTTGTTTGTATGTGAACGCGTGTGTTTTTTGATTTTTTCCGCAAACAAATGAATGTTTAAAGTTCATCTAGAGAGATTGAGATCAAACAAAGTTAACACTGCAAATGCATCATCAATCTTAAAATATAAACTTGTGTGTGGAAGTGTGTGTGTGTTCTCTGTGTGTGTTTGCGTGCGTGTGCGTGTGTGTCTATGTGGCCTTGAATTTTTTGTAGGATCATATTTTTGTATGTGTTACACAACAATGCAAGTTTGTATACGTATTTGTGTGTATGTTTGTATGCAAAGTTTTTTGTAAGTTTTATACAATATTTATATGACTTTTTCATACAAAATTTGTATGTATGTTAGTTTGATAGTAGAAGTCTGCATAAATAAATTTTCGTTTTATATATACATTTAAGCATGAATAACTTGGATATTAATTCTACTTTTAATCTGCCTGCATTTGTCCACAATAAAATTTCTTCCAGATAAAAGAGGCATAAAAAGGCCTTTTAGAGAATTCTAATTTTTTTCCCCTGATCTACACACGCACACACGTATGCACGTACACACATACACGTACACACACATTTAGACGTACACACACAACCAAGCACATACACACATATGTATTGTACATAATGACCCAAGATTATCACAAAGAATTCGCTTCGACTCAACCAACAGCACAGCATCTACATCTTTTTTTGTTCTTTTTACAAAATTTATGGAAGAATAAAAAGTTAAGAATTAAATTACCTAATAGGAGGATAAAAATAGCAACTCGTCCTCTATTGGTCGTGAGAGAAGGTAAGAAAAGAGACGCGCAGCTCCTGGCCAATAGGGATTTGAAGATGTAAACGCAGCAGCCAATGAATGTCGAGAAGAACACGCAAATGTAAAAATGAGGGCCAAATTTAAAATTCAAAACGTGGGCCCATATCAGGGTCAGCGTGGCAAATATGAGAGCGTACAGAACCGTTGTTAAGCATTTTACCGGAAGCGTTTCTTTTCGGAATGGTAGAATAATATTTTCAGACATTTTTGTACCATTCCTATCCAAAGCATCTCTCGGATATTGACACTCATCTTTGTTGTTGTCAATGCTGCTGCTTCTGTTGTTGTTGCTGTTGCTTATTTCCGGTTGACCTGAATATGACCCGTGGTGATTAATTAGGTCAAAATAGTTGACCGAAATTCGATCTTGGTTGTTGGTTGTGGGTTTTTTGCTGTTGTTGCGTCGCTCAGTGGATTTGCATTGGTGACCTGATGGAAGAATTTGATTGGTCAAATTTTCCGGGTCAAGGTCAATTGCGTGTAAACTTGCTTGGTCCACGTTCAACGCGACGTTGAAATTAGAACGGTGGTTATTCATAATGAAGTCATGGTTATTTGTGTTATCTGGGTCAGGTTGGTTGTTGAGGCGCTGCATGGTATCTATGTCCAGAGGAAATGTGGAAAACTGCTTGACGTTGTTGATGTTGTTGTTCAACGTTTCGATACTGCTGAAGATGTTGTGGCTTGTGTGGTTGCTACTGTTGCTGCTGTTGTTGTTACGGTTGCTGCTGTTGTTGCTGCTGCCACTATTGTTGTTGCCGGTGACGTTGTTGTTGTTGTTGTTGTTTTTAATAATGTTATTGTTAATAATATTGTAGTCAATATTGCTGTTATTGTTGTCGCTGATGTTGACGTTGTTGTTGATGTTATTGTTGTGATATCGCAAACACTTCAGGCACGGTTTACTCCTGGCCAAAGAATCGAAAATGAAATTGGGGTTTTCCACAGATTCTATAAATAACGCCGAATTCGGTATGACGGCATTTTGTCCGCTGATGACGTTGATGTTATTATTATTATTGTTATTGTTATTATTATTATTATTGTTGTTGTTGTTGTTAATATATCGAATAGGCGTATGTTTAGTGCAAGTACATTTCATGCCCGTGTTCAAAGCAATGTTGATGTTATTATTATTATTGTTGTTATTATTATTATTATTGTTGTTGTTGTTGTTGTTGTTGTTATCACTCGCGTCATTGTCATCATCCTTAATGGATTTTATTTTCTCCAGAAGAACAAATTCTTTGGCGTCATCGTCATGCGCTATATAGCGCTGATTACGATGATGATGATGGTGATGATGTTGTTGTTGTTGTTGTTGTTGTTGTTGTTGTTGTTGATGTTGTTGTTGATGTTGATGTTGATGTTGCTGTTGGAACATTTTAAATACAGACTCTTCAGAATTTTCAATTCAAATACGCATCTAAAAAACAAAAAAAATCAAATTTTGAAGGGATTATTATCATCATCGTCATCATCATTTTCATCATTATCCTCCTCCTCCTCCTCATCATCATCATCGTTATCATCGTCTTTATCATCAACATCATCGTCAATAATTAATATCAAAAATATTACTATTAAAATTACAAATATGTTAACGCAGCGTATGCAAACATAATACACGTACATACACACACACACACACATATACATGCGCACATACACACATACACACACACATACATACACTTCATGCAATTCATATACCCACACTGGTGCATTTACTTATAGACATAAACTATTGTATATATAATTTGTATTTTTTAATGTATATTTCTGTCATTCTTGTCTTCTCTCTCTCTCTCTCTCTCTATCTCTCTTTCTTTTTTTCTTCTTTTTTGCATACAAGTACATACATACACGCATACTTGCGTGTACAAGCAGGAAGAACAAAAAACGAACACGTTCATACATCTGGGATCTTAGGATTGAATAGGGATTTGATATCCCCATAAATATTATTTGTTGTCTTTGGTAACTAGGATTGTAGTATTTTTGGTTACTAGGCAACGACAGACTCTCTGGCAACGCGTAGCTGTCCATTTCCGGTTTAGAAGATAGCTAGATTTTTTTTTTGTTATGTTTTGTTTGCTTTTCTTTGGGCTTTTAATTAATTTTATTGTCATTACCATCCTTATTACAGCTTCTGATGTTATTGATAATTTTATTGATTATTATTATTATCATTATTATTATTGTTGTTGTTGTTGTTGTTTTGTATTGTCAACATTATTTTCATCGTGTTCAATATCGCCCATGTTTTGTCATCCGTGCAAAGAGTTTTAAGCTTTTTTGAGCAAAACAAAAAAATGTTCATTCCTGATTTTTGTTCTATGTTTTATTTTCATTTTGAAGAAACCATCATCATCATCATCTTCATCATCATCACCATCATCATCATCATAATTACTATCACTATCACAACCAAGTCACCAACATCATCGTCACCAAAGCCATAACCAGTAACAGCTTTTATCATGGTACTGTACTAACAAATGAATAATAATAATAATAATAATAATTATTATTATTATATTATTATTATATTATTATTAAGGCATTTATTGCGACAGAAGCAATTTATGATATAAATTTGAATATATTTCACCGCTCTGTACTTTTATTTTGAATTGAGCATCATACTCGTATCATCATATTGACATTTCATTTTTTTTACATTATTTCATAGTTTTAATTATTTATCACCATGGCTTTGAATAGAAGAGTTCTCATTATTATTATTATTATCATTTTTATAATTATTATTGTTATTGTTAATATTATTATTTTTATTATTATGCTAAATGAAGCGCATTAATTGTGACAAAGTCGTGAGTAAGTAAGCGCCATTGAAGGTTCAAAAGGGAGAAATTGTTTGTATGTTTGTATGTATGTATGTATGTATGTATGTTTTTATGTATGTTTGTATATATATAAATGTGTGTGTGTAAGAATGTATGTATGTATGTATGCATGTATGTTTTTTTATGTGTTTGAGCTTGATTGCATGCTGTTTGTATTGTTTTTTTTGCCTAGATCGCGTGTCTATTGTATTTTTTTGTCCGTATGTACGTATTTTGCTTTACACTGTATACATTTGACTGTATTGTATGTAGCTCTGTTTTTCGTTTCGTTTCGTACCGTATCGTTTCGTATCAAATCGATATTTAGCTCCTTTTTAAATGAAATGTTCAGATACTTTCAACTTGATAATCTTTTCTTTATACAAAAAAATCCTAATGGAAAACTTGAGTTTTTTAAAATTTAGTTTTTAATTATTTAAAATAATTAAATAATTAATTAATAATAATTATAATAAAACAAAATAAAACATGAATATAAAAATTTTTTTCTTAAAAGTTGGCAATTTTTTCCAAGCACTACTTCATGCTACTAATATAGCTCCAGAAAAATATTTTTATCGTTATTTTACATTGTGACCTTTTGAACTTTTGACCTTTCCTAATGTTATTGTTTCGTTTTGGTTAATTGTATGTATGTACCTGTATGTATGTGTGTATGTATGTATGTATGTATGAATGTATGTGTGTATGCATGTATGTATGTATGTGCGTATGTATGTGCGTATGTATGAATGTATGTATGCATGTATATATGTATGAATGTATGTATGCATGTATGTATGTATGTATGTATGTATGTATGTATGTATGAATGTATGTATGCATGTATGTATGTATGTATGTATGTATGTATGTATGTATGTATGTATGTGAGAACTCCGTTGAGCCAAATCATCGAGAAGTTCTCAGAGGAGGAATTCCCATCGACAAATGTTTCGGCCCTGAACAACCGCCTTACATTCTCGGGAGACCGGGCCACATTCTTTCATCACTCGAACGCTTCTCGATGACTGTTGATTTTTCAGTTGTTTTGACCTGCTATTTATACCAAAATTCAGTTTATGTTTCCATACGAAGTCGTACCACTGTAGCCCTATTCAGCCACAACCAATAAACATGCGCTACTAAAAGTTTTTCAGGCATGCTGTATCCTAACTACCTGATAGTCCCAACTCTTTGAAAAGTATATACATCGACGCTCCCACTGTTCCTCTCGCGTCAACCTCAACATCGTGTGTTTGTCTGTGTGTTTGTCTGTGTGTTTGTCTGTGTGTTTGTCTGTGTGTTTAAATATGCGTCAGTCTAGCAGTTTTAAAAGCGTCATTGCCAACCAGAGATAACACCAATTACGTTTTGTGTCAAAATCTAATCAGCTAAATAATTAAACAACATGAAACTTGGTCAAACAAACAAATACACACACACAAATATACACACAAATATATATACACACACATACACATACGTACTCACATACATACATATTTATAACACACACACACATACATACAAATATACACACATAAAAATATATACACACACACACATACACATACGTACTCACATACATACATATTTACAACACACACAAACATACATACAAAATGAGGCTTATTTATTTATGTGCATCATCATCATCGGACCTCCGATACCCACTTAGAGTAGTGATGTCCGGATGAAAAATTAAAGTGCGCGTGTGTGTTTGTGCGTGTTCGTGTGCGTGTGTGCGTGCGTCTGTACCTGTGTATGTGTGTGTGGTCCTTTTTTTAAAATCGTTGTAAAAAGCGGGAAGTTAAATATTTACAGGACAGACCCTTATATCTAAGAAAGAACCTGATGTACGTTTGCATGTATTTGTGTGTTTTTATGTGTTTGTGTGCGTGCCTGTATGTATGTTTGAATGTGTGTGCATGTGTGTGTATGTATGTTTTTGTGTTAGTATGTGCGTTTTGGTTAATTATGTATACATAATTTAATGTGTTTTTGTATCACGCTCAATATGTACGCTTGTATGTTCTCCGTGTATCTCATTTAGTTCAGTTTAGTTTTGGTACGTATAGTTTCGTTTCGTCTCGTCTCGTTTTGTCTCGTCTCGGTTCGTTTCGTCTCGCGAATTTATCTTTTCTGTTGATGGGATGATGACAGCACATCTAGTTTGTGAGCGAAGTAAATAATGGAAAAGTCACAGGATTACGATTACAACAACAACAACAACAACAGCGTAAGGCATGAAAATTGTTTTTTGCATTCAAAGCAGGTTGTAGAATTTAATTATAACAAGACAAAAAATATATTGAGACGAGAATAATTATAAAACGAGACAAGGAAAATTATAGCGAGACAAGAAAAATTATTTCGAGATAACATAAGTTATATCAAAACAAGAAAAATTTCAACAAGACTAAACCAATTGCAAGACAAAAACGATTGCAGATAGACAAAAAATGTATAACGAGACGAAAAATTTTTAGCGAGACATAAAAAACTATATAAGATTTTTGAAAAATTTGGAGGTGTTGAAAATTTGACATGGAATGTTTAACAATATGGAGGAAGAGAAAAAAATTTTAAACAGAAGGGGATAAATAGACAGATTAATAGAAACACAGACGCACACACATACATAGACAAACACACCTAGACAAACACACACACACAGACAGACACACAAAGTTATAAATAAAAAATAATATGTAGCGGTGCTGCTCAGTGGTAGCGGTACGCACCAGAAAACATGCATACAGCAGAGTCCCTAGGCACCGAAAACCCGAGTTAAATGATTGCAAAATTCTTCATTATGTTTGCTCGTTTGTTTGTTTGTTTATTGGTTTGTATGGGTATGTGTATGTATTTTGGTTATTGTGTTAGTATGGAAGTCAGTATGGTCGGTTAGAATTATGTATGCATTCATGTATGTATGTATGTCTGTATGTATGTATGTATGTCTGTATATGTATCTATCTGTCTGTCTGTATGTATGTATGTATATTTATCTGTATTCCTGCATGTCTATATGTGTGTGTGTGTAAATGTGTGTGTGTGTGTGTGTGTGTGTGGTGTGTATCTTTATAGCCATGTGTGCGTGTGTGTATATCTTTATAACCATGTGTGTGTGTGTGTGTGTGTGTGTGTGTGTGTGTGTGTGTGTGTGTGTGTGTGTGTGTGTGTGTGTGTGTGTGTGTGTGTTGTGTGTTGAGGTTTTATCTATCTTATCCGATAAGCCGTGAAATTTTTACAATGACAAAAATACGCAACTTGACACGCAAATAAATTTCTGCCTATAGATAAGAACGGCGTTTGTACATCTATTTCAAAAAATATGAGAGACATGTTTGTAGGAATTCCAAAAAACTTCAACACTGACAACAACAATTTCAATTGCAACAACAACATCAACAACAACATCAACAACAACATCAACAACAACATCAACAGCAACAACATTAGCATGAAAACAATAATTTCAATTGCAACAACAACAAAATTAACAATAACAACAATAGTTTCAATTGCAACAACAACATCAACAACAACATCATTAACACTAACAACAATCATTTCATTTGAATCAACAAAAACAACACCAACGATAAGAATAATAATAGTAAAATCAATAATAACAACAATAATAATAATAATAACCACAACAACAACAACAACAATCATAACTACGTAAACCGGAATAGTCAATAACTTTATCAATAACAACACTCAATCCAATTCCGTATATCTTGAGAGAGAGAAAGAGAGAGAGAGAGAGAGAGAGAGAGAGAGAGAGAGAGAGATAGAGATAGACGAGAAGATGTATATTAATTAAATGACAACCGCTATAAACATCAATAAACTATTTTTTCGGGGTTATCTTAGACAACATCAACAACAGCGTCAACAACAACATCAACAACAGACCAACATCAACAACAGATAAACAACATCAATAACAACAACATCAACAACAACATCAACAACAACATCAACAACAACATCAACAACACCAACAACAACATCAACAACACCAACAACAACATCAACAACACCAACAACAACATCAACAACATTATCAACAACATCAACAACATTAACAACAACAACACCAACATCAACAACATCAACAACACCAACAACAACATCAACAACATTATCAACAACAACAACATCAACAACAACATCAACAACATCAACAACAACATCAACAACAACAATAATTTCCAGATGGATTGGTCTTGCCCAATGAAGCAAATTGCTTACGATAACGCCAATGAAAACATAAAACTCCATCCAAATGTTAAATTACTACTACTACAACTACAACTACTACTACTACAACTGCAACTGCTACTGCTACTACTACTACTACTACTATTGGTGGTAGTATTAGTAGCATTAGTAGTACCACTACTAATGCTACTAACATTACTAATGCACAACCGATGTTGCTGCTATTACTACTGCTATTGCTACCGCTGCTACTACTACTACTACTACTACTACTGCTGCTACTACTACTACTACTGCTGCTGCTACTACTACTACTATTACAAGAGCGGCAATTGCTTAACACTGTTCTTAAACTTATTCGCACCTTTCAAAAATTAAAAATGGGTACACACACACACACACATACACACACAAACACACAAACACATACACACACGAAAATAATTTAGCAATTATTTATTTGCACTGATCTGAAAGGTATAGCGTGTATGTACGTATGTATATTTTTGTTTGTATGTTTGTTTGTTTGTATGAATGTAGGTGTGTGTGTGTTTTTGTATGTGTGTGTGTATGTGTGTGTGTGTGTGTTTAGTGACGTATCTATAGGGAGGGTCTAAATTTAAAATAACTTTCAGCGTTGACCGGGGGAAAATTCAAAAAGTTTGAAAATTTTTCCTCAACAGTACTTTTCCGGTGAAGAAAATGGGTTTCACCGATTTTCAATGCAAATACTTGCACTGGCTTTCCCCGATTCTTCTAGATTCGCCACCGTGTGTATTTTTATGCGTGTTTGTCATTCAGTTTTCCATACGCATTTCTTAGAGTCGGTCGTGTTATGTGTCAGAACGGGATTATGATATATTGTCCGGCCAGTGTTTTTGTATTTTTTTGTATTTTTTGCATACATTTGTTTGTTTGTTTGTTTGTTCTATATGTGTTAGTTTAGTTTTTTTGTATGTTGTATCCGTGTTTTTTGGAACATTTTTTTTCTGTTTTTTTTTGCTTGTTTGATTGTATTGTATGTCAGCTCCATTGCACATTTTGTTTTGTTTGTCTGTTTATATATTCGTTTAATTGTTAGGTTACGGTACATATATGAAACTGTATATATATATATATATATATATATATATATATAGAGAGAGAGAGAGAGAGAGAGAGAGAGAGACAGGAAGGCTTAAGGTAGGTGCCTTGTCATGCAGTTTTCATTTACCGGGTACAAATGCAATGTAACTCTGGCTAACTTGCATTTTTGTAGCTCTGGAATGAAAAGGAATGTTTGAAGATCTATTACTACCACTACTACTATTATTACTAAAAATAATAATTATTATTATTATCATTATAATTATTATTATTATCATTATAATTATTATTATTGTAATTATAATTATTATTATTGTAATTATAATTATTATTATTGTGATTAATATTATTTCGTTCTCAATTAAAATTTCTAAATATACTGTAACTTAAATCTATTAAACGATTAGCATGTTTACAGTTGTTATTATTATTGTTATTATTATGATAATTATAAATATAGATTATTATTATTACTGTTTTTATTATTATTATTACGAAGAGAATTTATATAGCGCCTATTAAAAAAAACTCCCAAAAGCGTCGAACAATTAATGACCGTTGTTAAGACTAAATATAATTAACACACGCGTGCTTGTGTGCGTGTATGTATGTGTATGTATGTGTTTGCGTGTGTGTGCGTGTGTGTATTGCTTATTTTTAGTATTTGTCTGTTTCTA